ATCTCACAAGGAAGGAAGGAAGGGAGGGAGGGAGGGAGGGAGGGAAAGGGTAGGAGGGGATTCAGGAGGGAGCTGTTCTTCCTGGGCTGAAGATGCCCTTCTTAGGGCAACTTAAGAATAGGTTAAGTAACAAAACGGGAGATTTAAAGTTTAAGTTATTCAAGGGAAATACATTATCCCTCTCTAAAAGAAGCAGCATGACTAAAAAAGCTAAAATGCAAAAGCAGAGAGCCTGGAATTGTAAGCGTGTAATGCATTTCACTCTGCTACAATTTGGGCACTTTAATTTCTCAGGTGGGTTAGCAGGTAAGATGAACTGTAAAGTGTTTCCCAACAAACATTTATGGCTCACAGAGCTCACAAGGAGACGTAAAGCCAGCCTGACCTTGGTAGAGAATTGCTGTGTGCTTATTTAAAGACCAGAGTCCGTAGAGTGAACAAATATCCTTCAGTACCGGCTGAAGATTCACGGGTGTGCTGGGACTGTGCACGTGTTTGTGGTAGTTTTGCAAAACCGTGTGCTCAATAAAAGCTATAGCTAAAGAACGACAGTAATACACCTGTGGGGAAAAAGGGATGACAATTTAAAAGCAGAGCTACAAACATAACAAATCTGTCTTCTCCCACAAAGGGTCCCCGTAGAATTAAAAGGCGAGTGGAGGAAACTCTCTGAAATTAGAAGCGGGAGTTACCTGGCTGTTGTTCTTTGCCTCAAAATCAGTGCAGCCGCCTTCTTCCTGCCTCCTCAGTTTCTGGATGCTTTCTCGGAGCAAGTAACAAACCAGCCACTTGTAGGCGCTCAAGGACACTGGGGGAAGGAACGGCAGTGGTTTTATACGTCCATTCGGGCGATTCAAAGGGATGGCGGGGAGAGCGAGCAGCCGTACTCTGGGTGCCTTATGAGCATTGCTAGAAGTCAAGACCATCTGCAGGGCGAATGTTTTTCTCCTTGGGTGCAGCTCATAAAGAGGAAAAGGCTCAACAGGCATCATGACCAACAGATCCCAGGGAGATGAACTCATTTTCACAAACATTAGGAAGTTCATGCACCAAGACCCTGGCTCTGTCAGGCCTGCAGCCATCTTTCCTTTTGGATCTTTGGCC